TTGAGACAGACTCTCATTCTGTCACCCTCAGTACAGTGCCGTGGCATCATAGCTCACAGCAACCTCAAACTCTTGGGCTTAAGCTATTCTCTTGTCTCAGCCTCCCAAGTAGCTGGGACTACAGGTGCCTGCCACAACGCCCAGCTATTTTTGGTTGCAGTTGTCATTGTTGTTTAGCAGGCCCAGGGAGGGTTGAACCCGCCACTCTCAGTGTATGTGGTCAGCGCCCTTACTTACTGAGCTACAGGTGCCGAGCCAAGTCACTCTGTCTTTAAGGTAAGTTAAGGCCTTTGCAGTCAGATCAAAGGGCAGGATGGACACTCCTTTGCTATGCTGCTACATATATTAAACCAAGTGACTGGACTCCAAGGATTCAGGTATGAAGTATTCAAAAAGTGAGTGAGTTGTTATTCTTTGATGCTAAATATGAAGAAAAGGGTCTGCAATGCTGAGAAACCTCATCCTCCTGAGACTTTCCTTCCTGAGCACAGCCTCCCGTTTCTGCAGGGCAGCCGACCTCCTGATCACATCCAGCCTTACCACCCAGACCCTTGATATCTCAGGCTTCTGGACACCCCAGCGATGCGCCAATGCACACTCTCACTGTGGCTCAGATGGCGTCCCCAAGATGGGGCTAAGGATGCCCAAAGTGTGAAAAGAAACAAGCTCTGGGCCAGGCACGGGGACTCACTCCTATAATCCCAGAACTCTGGGAGGCCAAGGAGGGCAGATCCCCTGAGCTCAGGAGTTCCAGACCAGCCTGAGCAAGAGCAAGACCCTGTCCCTACTAAAAATAGAAAAATTAACCAAGTGTTATGTTGGGTACCTATAGTTCTAGGCTGAGGCAGGAGGATCTCTTGAGCTTGGGAGTTTGAGGTTGCTGCAAGCTACGATGCCACAGCACTCAATCCCAGTGTGACAGAATGAGACTGTCTCAAGAGAAAAAAAAAGAAACAAAACCAGTTTTGGTCCCTTGGGAGGCCGGAGGCTGAGAGCCCCATCTTTTTAAACTTTCCATAGTCACAATCATTCTGAGCTGGATAAAACTGTAAAATCACAAAAAATCATTTTGGCCAAAAAATGCAACCAAAGGGGCTCGGTGCCTGTGGCTCAAGCGGCTAAGGCGCCAGCCACATACACCTGAGCTGGCGGGTTTGAATCCAGCCTGGGCCCACCAAACAACGACGGCTGCAACCTAAAAATAGCGGGGCATTGTGGCGGGCGTCTGTGGTCCCAGCTACTTGGGAGGCAGAGGCAGGAGACTCGCTTGAGCCCAGGAGTTGGAGGTTGTTGTGAGCTGTGATGCCAAGGCACTCTACCCAGGGCGACAGCTTGAGGCTCTTTCTCAAAAAAAAAAAAAAAGCAACCAAAGGAAAGAAACACACCATCTTTTCAACAGGGTTACTCGTGCCACCTAGTTTTATCCTAGAATGTCCTGTGTAGATAAACCACAAAGCTGTGCACTAGGCAAACAATGAAAAGCACCCACACTAAGCTATAGACTCTAGTCTCCAAGAAGCCTGAATAGGCACTCCTGAACCATGCACCCCTGAACTGTCCCAGGCACAGGCTCAAGCACCCAGAGAGAGGCATGTGCTGCCATCTGCCACACCCCATTGGGGAGAGCAGGTGCAAGCTGCACTCACATTTCTTAAATGGGCTGTTCTGCTGAAAGTCTTTGCCTCTCAAAAGAAAAAGAACGGGGCACTTTTAAGAAACAAGGTTCTAGGCTGGGCATTGGTGGATCACGCCTGCAATCGTTGGCATTTTGGTAAGCTGAGGCAGGAGGATCCTTTGAGCTCAGGAGTTTGAGATCAGCCTGAGAAAGAGTGAGACTCTGCTTCTAAAAATAGCCAAGCATTGTGGAGAAAGCTTGTGGTCCCAACTACTTGGGAGGCTGAGGCAAGAGAATCACTTGAACCCAAGAGTCTGACATTGCTGTGACCTGTGACACCACAGCACTCTGCTGAAGGCATATTGTGAGACTGTCTCAAAAAAAACAAGGATATAAAATAGACAGGCCTTTTATTTTAAGTTGGAGGGAGGAAATCAGGGGAAGTTCTGACACACACAGTGATCTCAAGCACTGTCACTGGAAAGGCTGCTCAGAGCTTCTCCTGGCTGAGAAAGAGCCCCCCATAGTCAGTATTCCCACAGCAATGAACACAGCTTGGGACAATAGGAAGAGGACATGTCCATAAGCTATGGGGTCTGGAGCAGGGATCCCTCTCGGTAGTCAGATGGCACCTAACGGCATGCAACCTCCCAGGAGCAGCCTCACTCAGGCATAGTTATCCTTATGGACCTTCATGTAGACATAAAAGAAAATATTTCAATGAAAACAGGTACAATGATAGTTCAAGTGAGAAAGTGCTTAATTTGTAGCTATGACTGTAATTTGCTCCCCTAACTGGGCTCTGGCAGTTGGCAGGAATGGAAGGGCACAGACTTGGGGTTGATGTCCTTGCCCTTCTGCCCATGGTCTAAGGAGAAAAGCTGGCCAGAGAGCTCTACTCCCCAAAAGGACCGTCTTGACTTCCAGACTCAGGACCCCGGAAACCAAGCAAGGGCCACCCTCCATCCTTCTACTCTCTCCAACAGTAAAACCTCGAGCTGCAGTCAGCAGCATCCAAATACACTCACATCAGGAAGCACATGGGAGCGCAACCTGAGAGAGACAGGTCAGAGTCTCAGAAACACTCCTCAAAGCTCCCAGTAATAGGGTTTCTAGTCACCAGAGCACTGTATATGGCTGCACTCCACAGAGCTTCTCTCTCTGACAGAGCTATGGTCACTGGAACACAGACAAAAAGTTATTACCTAGTTTTATATTTGTTCCATATTTTAAGCACCTCTCTTTTAAATATTAAAATATGGTAAGTGCAGCCAGAATTGATGACACAATGTGTTGAGAGTCCCTGACATGCAGCTAGGTATGGACCGCCCTCCACTCCAGGGTCCCCACATGGCCAGCTACACCATGGCCCCAGCTGTGAACAGGGAGTGGGGTGAGGCAGGGGCTGGGGACTACAGTGGAGGCTGGGTCTTACTCTGAATCTTCCAAAGACCCCGGGCCCTGTACCAAGGAAATATTAAAGATTTGGTTAGCAGATTCTTATGACAGAGTGTGTGTGCCTCTGCAGTTGTAAGAAAAGAGTCTTCCTTCAGTAAACAGACAACATTACCCTTCTCACTGCCCACACCACTAGGCTGGTGTATCCAACAAACATGCTTTTTAAAGGATCATTTAACCATTAAACCAGTGCCTCAAAGAACTAATGTAGCCATTTCTGGTAATTTAACGAATTCAAAAATCTTAAGCATACATTTCTTCTCTCTTTTGTTACTTTTGTGTGTGTGTGTGTGTGTGTGTGTG